GCTAATGAATGTAGAACATTATTTACAACAATGAGAAGGAGACAAACGAAAGTTCTCTCGTCATGTGATGAGAAAAGGAACACTGGAAAAAATCGTGACGACTGGAAAGATCAATGGTAGAAGAGGCAAAGGCAGACCAAGAGAAACTGATCCAGAATACCAAAGACTGAGATGCATGAACGCCTACGCCAGCTAGCAAGGCACTTGATGATGATGATGATGATGATTATGATAATGAGCCGAAAGGTGCACATATAACAGCGAATTTACAAACAACAGCAGAACGTACGTACCAACACAGAAGAAATAGAAACATCTTTAAGTTTTGCCATCTATTTATTTACTACTGATTATGCCATGATATGTTTACTGTTAATTACATACGTGACGTGTTTGTTTTAATTCTTTGGGTACCGGCCAACTAGCTACACGCTTACTGGTTACTTTATACATTGTAATAGTTTCTTGTCTTCTTCTGTCGCTTACATAAATTACAGTTTTACATTTATTCAACTCCAAATCGTCACTTTGACCCCTTCTACTACATGCTTGCATTATTCAACTAAAAAAAATATGCGCTATACGCTTTCATGTTTCTAGAATCACAGGACTATTCCCGCGCGTGTGTGTGCTGAGTGATTCTTTGAGCATGATCCGGCGATCGAGGCAGGCTGGTTACGTAGACAGTGTATTGAGTCACTGCAAAACTCTTCTGTGTGTGCAGTTACCTTCATATTCGTCATAGGGCATTCAGGCGTTGTTGGTATTGAAAGAGCTGATAGACTGACAGGTGCTGCATTAATTGAAGATGGTCAGCCCATAGATCACTCAGATATTGTCATTCCCATTAGAGAGATAGGACGTTCTGAGGATGTTGGAAGCAACGTGTCCACATCACTGCTAATAATACGAGAATTGGGAGTAAAGATCGGCACAGCCAAGCATGAGAATCACACCGGACGCACACGAAGTCTTGTTAACCAATATAGGACTGGCACTACTAACTGATGGATATGTTGAAAAGGGAATCTGAGCACCTATGGATGTGTCCGGAGTGCTGTGAAGATAATCTAACTCATAACTTATGTGATGGGACGTGTCACTTCTTGGACTGAACTATTTGACGGCGTATTGACTTGCTGGCAGTTCCAAGGTAGGTGCAAGAAAAGCAATGAACCGGGCCGAAGTTCTCAGTGTTCTGAAGGAAGCAGGTCGAGAAGAGAAGACGATGAATCGGCAACACTCAAAAGACTACAAGAACTTCAGGTCAAAAGATGTATCGCCAAACATCAACACTATACAGGTCGCTAAAGAAGAATAGTAAACCAACACTGAACCGGTGTGATCAGTCGTCAAAGGCTGAGGGATATACTGAAGATAGGATCCAAGCGCTTACGGACTTGTCCGATATGCAGTGATGATAATCTTTCGATTAACTAACAAACTACAAAGAATAGGAGAAATGCTGACATCTTGAAAGATCTGAACATCAAGGATGATAGGCTAATAAACAGCATCCTGTCTCGAAAGCTAAAACATTTTGGTCATATCAAGCGCCACGACGAATTGGAAGAAATTATAGCAGAAGGCATGGTACCAGGAAGGAGGGGACAGGAGCTGACCAACAGGAAGATGGGCACAGGATATAAGTGACTCCTTGAAATGAAAGTGCATGAGGCGGGAAAGCTGGCGAGCGACCGAGTTTCTTTCAGGCAGACCGTGATGAGAGTGACGTTCTGCAAAGGACCTGCTACATGATGATGATGAACTAACACACTAACTAACAGGTTGATGTGATTATTCGTATTGTTACCTACCCGCTGGTATATTCGTTCATATCTGTGTCCAGGGGCCTGCGTGGTCTCGAAGCATAGTGTCCACCGCGAGTGCTAGAGGTTCCGCGTTCAAAGACCGGTAGGGGCTTGGATTTTTTTTACGTTGACTTGAATAATTCCCTCTGGTCTCTGTGTAGTAAGATCAGACGTCCGTGTGCATTGTTACACACGTAAAAAAAATCCCTAACGGCACTGCTCGGGCAAAATTTGGAGTTTAAAATCTACACAAAGTATTTCAGGATCATCGCCGGTGCTACAGAGCCTGTGCACTGTGCTGAGCTCTTCGGACTGAGACTTTAGTTAGAAGAAAAACGGAGCACTTATGGGTTACTACCCGTGTGTCATGATATTGATCCGTTGTTCAATTCTCAAACCTGTTATCTGTGTCCAGATGACACATAATTAACAAATATAATGTTTGCTTAAACAGGAATCATTGTAATAAGCGGCAGGACTCTTGCCTACCTGCCCTAAGGACATGGGTTAGAATTAGAACTGGGGCAGATCATGGAACTTATATGGGATCCCGGTTCAGCTCTGAACCTTATATTGGTAGCAGAAATATACTAGGGAAAAATGCTGGGAAAGAATAAGAAAAAGAAGAACAAGCAGTAGCTTTCCTGCCTTTTGCTAGCTTTGAGGCCCGTGTTAATGTCACACATTTTTTCTGTAGTGCCTCTTACTCTCGGTCTCTGGTCTTTATTTCTAGATTGGGCAAACAAATTACACCTAAACCTCGTCAAAAAATAATTTAAACCAGAGAAAATACATTGCTCAATGAAAACTGCTTTTTGTGTCAAGACATACACGTATTCCACAACACATTTTCGCTAATTAGCCAGTATGTTACTCTTGAATTTAATCACATGGGTTTTAACGGGAGACAATGTATTATTGATCGGCACTCATAGAAAGAAGTCGGTTTTAAAAAGAGACTAGCTGCAGACATTGTTCTCAGAAAAAACCTGTTATGTGACCAGAAGCACAAGAAAATGCTGAGCATGTGCTCCAACACTGTAGACTGTATGATGACAACAGAGACGCAATCTGACCTGTTCCACCCACAATGAAGACAAAACTGTATGATAAACGAGAAGCTATGGACTACACAATAGCTTTCAAAAAGGCTACCGGCCTCCTGATATAAGTTTTCTGACAGAAGGATCGAAGAAGAAAAATAAATGGTAAACATTCTGGCCTTCATGTTGAGACCTGCCTGACACACTCAGCCAATGACTTTCCCGTAGATGGGGTCCATGTGAGGGGATCCTTGATGGTGGAAGTGATGATGGTCGTGAACGTGGTGCGTGGACATTTTCCCAGACCCTGGTTCGGGGCTCATCCAGTCCAACATTTTGCTGGTAAAAAATCCTAAGATAAATCCTGGAGAAGATAAAGATATTAGCACAAATAACTGCAAGAGAAGTTAATTTACAATTAAGGAATAATATATATAAAATAAACATAGAAAATGGTATTTTAAAAAATAAATAAAAGGACACACAAGACAGTATGAAAATCGAAAGTTATAGTGTCCATGCCGGGAATGAAACTTGTCAATCCCAAACGACGACAGCGTCTCGCTTCAGAAATGTGTACTAAAGCGCATGGCCAACTAGACTCCCCCCCCCCCCCCCCCCCCCCTCAGAGAGAAGTGTCTTCATTAGCGATGTCTATTGTAAGACTTTAATACACATCTATGGAATACGGACGTCATTCATCTTAAACCACTGTAATTGCACCACTGGTTATTTCTGTTTACTACATCCAAGAAATATAAGATAAGAACTTATTCGAAAGAACGTTTAAGGGTAGTGGCAATCCTAGATTACGTTAGAAAACAACAAGCAAATAGATTTGGCATTTAACCAGGCCGCCAGAAGGCAAAATACAACGGCCAACAATGTTATGTTGTTTCAACATTAGCTGTCCGGAAATCGAGGTTCTATTAGAGAGAGAGAGAGAGAGAGAGAGAGAGAGAGAGAGAGAGAGAGAGAGAGAGAGAGAGAGAGAGAGAGAGAGAGAGAGAGAGAGAGAGAGAGAGAGAGAAATATGTTGTTACCCCGAAAAATTTTGTCCAGAGACCGAACTGCTGCAGAATGGAGACGTTCGGGAATCGGGATTCTACTGTACTTGGTGAATTATACGCACACACAAACATCTCCTTTTGCGGCCTCTCTAGTGACTTCTCCCTAAACACCCCTTCTCTCTCTCTCTCTCTCTCTCTCTCTCTCACACACACACACACACACAAACACATCTTCCATGCCTCTCTTGTGACTTCTCCCTAAACACCCCCCTCCCCCCTCTCTCTCTCTCACACACAAACACACACACACACAAACACATCTTCTTTCACAGCCTCTCTAGTGACTTCTCCCTAAACACCCCTTCTCTCTCTCTCTTACTCTCACACACACACACAAACACATCTTCTTCCACAGCCACTCTAGTGACTTCTCCCTAAACACCCCTTCTCTCTCTCTCTCTCTCTCTCTCTCTCTCTCTCTCTCTCTCTCTCTCTCTCTCTCACACACACAAACACATCTTCCGCCTTTGTAGTGACTTCTCCCCAAAGTACCTGTCATATGCCGTTAGTCATTATGTCTGTCCACAGCTGTGTCTTGTGTACTGTCAATCATTTATGATCGTTAAATTACTCTACGCCAATCTGCTGAATTGTTCGACATCCCCCCCCCCCCTCCCTTTTCCAGGTGGCTCCTCCAAACTACCTCTTGGTCTGTTCAAATAACGAACAATTGCATCCCACATGGGGACGATATTGTCTTAGATAGTGTTTTTAAAACTGACTATAAACAGTTTTTAAGCGTCTTCCTTTTCACCTAATTTGACAATATGAATGACTTTCTACCCCACCAGGACATCACACAAGCGATAAACACCCGATGACACAAAGTGCCACCATGCGGATGAGGGTCGCCGTGGAGAGGTCCCAGAAACCGCGTTCAGACATTTGGCCATATTTATGGCCTGCCTATATTGCGGCCCCTGGCAAAAGCCAGAGTGGGGCTTCAAATAACGAAAAATTACGTCCTAAAAAGGACGTATGAGAATAATATTTGACAATATACTGAAAATTAAAACAGTAACAAATCTAACGGTATTAATTAATTGAATCATCTTTTAAAATATTACAAAATATACCTCCTATTGCAGCACAGATAAATGAAACAGCATTATGCTGATGAATCAAATCGCAGGGTGTGGTTATTTCAGGTGGGAGTTGTACTGGAATCCCAATCTCTTTGACCACAAATTCATTCATTGCAATAGCCTGCGAATGTTGAACTCGGCTGCCAGTACAATACACTGTTTGTGGAGGCAAGGGGAGGCAATTAGAATTTTATTTACATCAGACACAAGCCATCTTTTAGTAGATATGACTAGAGTCTTCTTTTTGTTCTACATGAACAGATGTTAAACAAAAACGAAGGGTAGAACTAGTCAGCTTTATATTATCACAAACACCAATGGCAAGTGGGTGCTGCGGCTACAAAGACTTCATCAGCACATTATATGAGCAGACAATGTTACGGTTGTGAACAAGAATACACAAAAAATCACTTGACCGAAATACGGCCGAGAGAAATTTACATATTTGCCTAATCAATTGTTTTCATCCAAATCGCTTGCAGCTGCGATCGAACCCGACACCCCGGCATTACGAAGCGCATTCGCAACGCTTGAGCCACAAAAGCCGACAAACTTTATTGACTTGACTTATTTGTCTGAGAAGATTCAAGTCGAAAGGGAACGATTTCATTACAACCGGTTGTTTCCCAGATGGTCCGGTCTCCTCTCCACATAACGGGCTAGCCGCCTGCCGAGAGTGTTGCACAAATCACAAACATGGTAGCTCTAGCGACAATCCTCGTTGGTCTTCGTAAAAAATAGTTCCCCCGTCGAAATCAACGCAAAGCGGTCTGTAGCCAAATAACCGCAGCTAGAATCGAACTGGGTAACTCGGAATTATGAAGCGTGTTCGGCACATCTAAGCCACATACTCATATTCAAAATTGTCTACTTTTATGGTCTCACTGATATCAGGATTAGGCCAGTGACGTGGTTTTCTGTATTTGTCTTTCGCTTCTCGGGTGGGTTGGGTGATGGACTTGTTCACCTTTTCTGCAGATTACAGGGACACCATATATCCATCTCTTTCTTGTTCAAAATAGTTTCAAATATGTATGGCAGTTGACGGATAACACGTTTTTCATTCAAACTTTCTGTGCTTTTTTGTTCAAAGCTGCAAAAGAAAAAGTAAACAATGTACAATTCTGCAACCAACCGTGAAGAAGACTGACACAAAGATCACTGAATAACCCGATCAAGCAAAAGTATGTTGGAATGCACAACACTGCTTTGTTGGACTGCGCAAGATGTTATAATTACTTCACCGTCAATGAAATAGTAACTGTGACTTTCAGTTCTGTAAGATAAATCTGAACTCTTATATTCATATGGATGACTACTTCTCAGTGATAAGATCGCGATCAACGATGAACTTGCACCGTGCCACACAAATCGATATAAACAGGCACACATGAACGGTATGTGCACATCTGCATCTTTATCATCATCATTCAATTATTTGCAGTGAAATGTGACTAAACAGCTTAACGAAATGGGAAAGCAGAAGAAACTTGCACAAAACAATAAATAAAGCTTCCCCATTTCGTTAAGCTTTTTAGTCGCATTTCACTGGAATTCTTTGTATTAGATTTACTACAGTCACCCCGATATTTTTACCATCATCATTTTGCAGGTCCGTGTCGTTCTCGCCACGACTGACAATATTTTTTTATTTCTCCAGCCAGATGTGCTTTCATAGCCGGCCTCTGCTGTGTTTTCCGGAAATTACCCGCTGTCACCTTTCTCTCCAGACCATCTTAACGGTTAACATGGGCAGAATACATCAGCATGCTGTTTATGAGCCAATTCTCCTCGATGTTAAGATCATGTAGTATGTCGGTGTTTTGCCCATGCCTCGTGACACCATACAATTCAAAGCATTCATGGAAAGAGAAGAAGGACGTAGAGCACGGGCTAGACAGACAGCTAGACAGTCAGCTAGACAGACAGCTAGACAGACAGCTAGATAGCTAGACAGCTAGATCATTAGACAGCTAGACAGCTGGACAGCTAGCTAGACAGACAGCTAGCTAGACAGCTAGCTAGACATACAGCTAGCTAGCTAGACAGACAGACAGACAGACAGCTAGACAGACAGACAGCTAGACAGAGAGACAGACAGCTAGACATACAGACAGCTAGACAGACAGACAGCTAGACAGACAGACAGACAGACAGACAGACAGACAGACAGACAGACAGACAGACAGACAGACAGACAGACAGACAGACAGCTAGACAGACAGACAGACAGACAGACAGACAGCTAGACAGACAGACAGCTAGACAGACAGACAGACAGAGACAGACAGACAGACAGCTAGACAGACAGCTAGACAGCTAGACAGCTAGACAGACAGCTAGACAGACAGCTAGACAGACAGACAGACAGCTAGACAGACAGCTAGACAGACAGCTAGACAGACAGCTAGACAGACAGCTAGAGAGCTAGACAGACAGCTAGACAGACAGCTAGACAGACAGCTAGACAGCTAGACAGACAGCTAGACTA